CCTGGGAGCGGGGATTACAGTCCAGTGCAGGACCTGAGAGAAATCAACAAGCGGGTAGAGGATATCCACCCCACGGTCCCGAATCCTTATAACTTGCTGAGCACCTTGTCTCCTAGCCATACTTGGTACACTGTATGGGACCTGAAAGATGTCTTCTTCTGTCTAAAGTTGCACCACCAGAGTCAGCCCCTGTTTGCCTTCGAATGGAAGGACTCCGACCTGGGAATTTCCGGACAGCTTACTTGGACACGGCTGCCTCAGGGGTTTAAGAACAGCCCCACCCTCTTTGATGAGGCCCTGCACCAAGATCTAACTGCTTTCAGGACCCTCCACCCCCACCTGATTCTGTTACAATATGTAGATGACATCTTGCTGGCAGCCGAGACTCAGGAGAAATGCTTAGCAGGTACGGAGGCTCTTTTGCAAGAATTGGGACGGATGGGATACAGAGCCTCAGCAAAAAAGGCTCAGCTCTGCCGGAGAGAGGTGACATACCTGGGATACCGGCTAAGCGGAGGACAGAGATGGCTGACACCAGCTCACCAGGAGACCATCTTGGGCATCCCAGCACCTCGTGATCACAGACAGGTGAGAGAGTTTCTGGGGACTGCTGGGTTCTGCCGCCTTTGGATTCCAGGATTCGCAGAAATGGCGGCCCCCCTGTATCTCCTGACCAAGACAGACGAACCCTTCATCTGGGAGGACCACCACCAACAAGCCTTCGACCACATAAAGAGGGCTTTGTTGGAGGCTCCGGCTCTTGGCCTGCCTGATCTGACAAAGCCATTTGAACTGTACATTGATGAAAAGCTGGGGTACGCGAAAGGGGTCCTGACCCAAAAATTAGGGCCATGGAGACGCCCTGTAGCCTACTTGTCAAAGAAACTAGACCCAGTGGCAGCCGGCTGGCCCCCTTGTCTGAGAATGGTGGCAGCCCTGGCAGTCCTGGTCAAAGATGCCTTTAAATTAACTTTGGGTCAGCCTCTTTGTGTTCGAGCCCCCCACGCCCTAGAGTCTCTCATCAGACAGCCCCCGGATCGGTGGCTCTCAAACGCCCGGATGACTCATTACCAGGCTCTGCTCTTGGACTCTGACCGCATCCAGTTTGGATCCCCCGTCGCTCTCAATCCTGCGACCCTGCTACCCAGCACAGAAGAACCCGACTCGCAGGGCGACCATGACTGTCATCGGGTCCTGGCTGAGGTTTTCGGCACCCGACCAGACCTGAGCGATAAGCCACTGGAGAAGGCAGATCACACTTGGTATACAGACGGGAGCAGCTTCCTTGAAGGGGGACAACGCCGGGCTGGAGCCGCAGTCACCTCAGACAGCAAGGTAATATGGGCCGAGCCCTTACCAGAAGGAACGTCCGCACAGAAGGCCGAACTGATAGCTCTGACACAGGCCCTGCGGCTGGCAGAAGGTAAGAAGCTGAATGTGTACACTGACAGCCGGTACGCCTTCGCCACTGCACACATCCACGGAGAAATTTACAAAAGAAGGGGGCTCCTCACATCAGGAGGGAAGGAAATAAAGAACAAAGCAGAAATCTTGGCACTATTAGAGGCTTTGTTTTTACCAAAAGAACTCAGCATAATGCACTGTCCAGGTCACCAGAAAGGAAATCACCCTGAGGCGAGGGGAAACCGCCTAGCCGACCAGACGGCCAAGGACATTGCCTCCAAGAGTCAGGTTCTGACTATGCAAATGGACCCTGAACGCCAGAG